TGTGGTGGTGGTGGTTGTTATTGTTGTTGTTGTTGTTGATGTTGTGCAGATCAAAAGATTTTTTAATGGCTTGCTTCTTCAAGAACTTCAATCGAGTCGATACCAACGTCAATTTACCATCAGATGGTGATGATGACGATGATGACGATGGTGATGATGATGATGATGGTACTAATAGCAGCAAAGATGATGATGTTGATGATGATGACGATAACGACGATGAATATAACGCGAAGTTCAAATCGCCGAAATGAACCTTCTCATTAATTCCCACATCATCACTATCACCTCTCATATGACGCTTATCATCACCATCATTACCATCATCGCCAACAACAGCATCATTACTATTGCGTCCAGCTTGGCCACCATAATTATCCTCACCACCACCGCCAGGACAATGGTGATTGCAAATAGCGCTATGGCGATTAATATTGATGACGTAGAAGATGAGAAATGACGTCAGAGTGACGCTTATGATGAACTTTTGCATGTTACTCGTGGGTTTCCCAAAATTTCCACGTCTTGTTGTTGCTGCTGTTGTTGATGGTGACGTCATTTGGAGTCTTGTTGTTGTTGTTGTTGTTGATGATGACGTCATCATTGGAGTTTTTAATCTCTGCGTTGTCAGTATTGGTGCTATCCGACGCATGCATTTTTTGGGCAGTTTGATTAACTTCCTGATGATTATGGTAAAAACTTTCATTATTTTTGGTACTTGTTTATCTTTGGTTAAGTGGTTGATCTTTGGTTACTTTTAAATTTGTCGTTCATTAAATAATTTATTCATTAATTCATTTTATAATTTGTTCATTCCATTATTGCATTCATCCGTTCAGTCATTTGTGGTTTCATCAATTAGTTAACTAACTAATTAGTTATCTATTTAATTAATATACTAATTAATTAACTACTTGCTTACTTAATTAATTATTTTATTCATTCACTCGTTACCTACAACCCATCTTACATTACTGGTTAGCTCATGTGGCGTATGAATACTGTATATATATATAATCAATTCTCTCTCTCTCTCTCTCTCTCTCTCTCTTTCTCTCTCTCTCTCTTTATCTCTTTCTCTCTCTCTCTCTCTCTCTATATATATATATATATATATATATATATTTTAATAGTTTTTTAACAATTTTATTAATTATATATATATATATATATACACTTACCTAAACTTTAACATATACATTCATTGTATATGTTTGTGTATGTTTATGATTATTTTTTGTATGTGTGTGTACGTGTATGTGTATCATCATCAGTCAACAACAGCAACAACAGCAACAACAACAACATCAATAACAACGACAACAACAACAATAACATCAACAATAACATCAACAACAACATCAATAACAACAAAAACAACAACAATAATAACAACAACAACATCAATAACAACAACAACAATAAAGAGAAGTAATCAATGAAAATAAAACTGCGTCAGGCAACTTGCACGCATCAGTGGAGCAGTGCCAAATTGTATATTAAAAATTCATCGCCCCCACATCCCCCGTACTGTACATGTTCTGGAGTTTTTTAAATTGGAGTTTGTTCGTTTTGTTTGTTCTCTTGTTGATTTGTTCGTTCGTTCGTTCGTTCATCTGTTTTGTGTTTTTTGTTCGTTGTGCGTTCGTTCATTTGTTTATATTTTGTTCGTTTGTTAATGTCTTTCATCGTTTGTTAGTTTGCCGTTCACTTGTTTGTACATACGTTCATTCATTCGTTTGTTTTGTTTTGTTCGTTCGTTTTCCTCTTTCACCAGAATTTGCTCGTGTTTATCCGGCTGTGATCTGTTCACAAACTAGAAAAACAATAGCAACAACGACATTAACGACAACATCAGCAGCATCATCATCATCAATAACATCAACAACAACATCAACAACAACATCAACAACAACGATACAACATCAATAATGTCAGGATTCGTAACTGAAAACTGGGACATCGAAAGAGGTACAAATGGCATTATGAACAATACATTCAAAAACAACAGCAAAAACATCATCACAAACAACAACATCACCAGAACAACAACAAATTCATCAGGAGAAACAACAACGACAGCATCGATTTCAACAAAGAATAATGATTATCCAAATGATTACAAAGAACTACAATTAGACAAATTCTAGGCCCTTAATAGCACAGAATATAAACAAAAAGATAAAAATACAAAAAACAGTATGAATAAAAAAAAAATCATAACTTTAATTATTAATTCCTCTGTGCCTGACAACGGGCCATTTTGTTTTCCATACCAACATATGATACGCCATCTATCCATTGTCCCGCTCTGCTACTCTCATTCAGCAATTAGTAGATTGAATGAGTGAATTAAGTGAATTAGCGAACGAACAATTGAATAAATTAATTTTTTAGATGAACCGATGAATAAATAAATGAATGAATAAACTGAAAGAATGGATGAGTATTCATTATATTCCATACAAACATGAAATTATCCAATAGCTAATGGGAAAATGCTTTCGGTTTACGTTAGTGCTGAAGTGCTATACTTCAATTTTTTTTAAATTTCATGGGAATATATTTTTGAAAAGAAAGTTACCAACATTGCGACCATAGTTATGGAAACTGTTTTTAAAATCTATGGCTATCTATAGTCTTTTTATCTATGATTGTGACGTCATTTGTTCCTACTTTCCGGTGGGGCTTGTTATGTTATGAAATTCACTTTGTCAGCCGTATAAAAAATATGAAGAAACCACTTCGAATAAGATGCTTCAAAAACATACATTACATTTTATGAAAGTTGAAACATTATTTTGCATTTTGTCAGTGGATTTGTACTCTGGAAAAAACAGATTTTCGTTTAAAAATAGCTTTACGGAGAAAAATTAAACGTTTGTAGTAGCACCAAAACGAAACCGAATTAAAACTAAAACAACAGAGCGATTGTAAGACGACTTTGAAGAAATAAATAACGACGAATAACAACGAAGCATTTAATTTACAACTTGAACTTTTATTACTTTGCTTGTTTACTTTGTTAACGATAATATAAATAGGCTATCTTGAATTAATTAGGCTGGCTTAACTCTGCATTTTATTTAGGTGATTTCAGGTGATTTTCCTAATTCTAATTCCTAATTGTTAGATTTATTTTTCCGGATTTATTCATCGCCAAAATGCCGTTGCCAGCTGCGTTGGCTGCCAAGTTGGCAAAAAGAGGATTGTTAAAGTCTTCTGCCAGTTCTGGTCAGTAAGATAAGCATAAGAGTTAATAAAAAAATAATTAATCAGTTCATTATTTAAATTTTAATTTAATCAGTTTTTAATCCATTAAAAATTAATTAAATTAACTTTAATGTATAGTATTATTAATTAATACTAATACTCAGTGTAATACTTTTATAGTAGGATAAGTTTGATGAAGGAAGTTTGTTTGAATTTTTATCTACTATAAAATAAAAATGAATAAATTAATTAAAACTTTGAAATTTATTGTCCATTAAATTTTTAATGAAATGACTGAGTATAAATACTGTTTACTTATACAAGTATTTTGAGTTACTTAGTTTAACTTTGATTGATTATTTGACAAAAATAAATCAACAACAATTCATTTGAATTTGACAGATCCTGTTGAGGAGGTGATTGCAGAGGATTACGACGACTCATCGTCATCCACCCAGCTCAGCAGACCCAAAAAAAGAATTACTGAAGTTAGGAGTGATCACTCAACATTAAAAGTAATAGACAAATCCAAGAACGACAGTCACGAAGATGCCAACAACGATGACAACAACGAAAGTGAACTCATTCATAAAATCACTGCCTGCCCCAACATAGCCAACCCCTACCACAGTTGTGTCGAGTTTTGTACAAAAAAATGGGGCTATAAATTATTCAAGCCTGATACGGTGATGTTAGTGAAGAAAGAAAAGATGCTGTCGAAATATCCAATCCCCAATGGGTGGGAAGAAGTGGGTGACCCGATGACGTTCGTATTTTTCACCTCTCTCTTCGTTTAAATAATTTTTTAAATTTAAATTCATTTTTAAATAATATTTTTCATTTTAATAATTTTCTACCATTATCATATTCTTGATCACCTTTCTCACTTCTCATCAGTTTTTTTTAATCTCACCATCAATGCTTTTCATTTCGCACAGTGGTCGATATTACTATTGGAATACGATGACTGACGAAGTTTCTTGGCTACCCCCTGGCCATCCAAGAGGCAATGTCACACTTCCTGCTGAAAGATTGAAAGGTTAGGGATGGATGAATGTATTGATGAATGCATTGATGATTGGATGAACGCATTGATGATTGGATGAATGAATGGATTAGTGAATAAATGAATGGATTAGTGAATAAATGAATGGATAAGTGAACGAATGAATGAGTAAATGGATTGATAGATGAATGAATAAGTGAATGGATTGGTAAATGAATCAGAAAATGCATTGATGGATGGATCAATGAATGGATGAATGTTCTAACAGATGAATTAATAGAGTGTATTAATGGATAGACAAATTTATCTACTAGATCTCCCCCATTAAACACAATCTAAATATTATAACATCACACCACAGAGCTGAACACTCCGATGAACGAGAGGTTGAAGAAAAGAAAGATTAACAGGAGAGATTCGGATGGAGAGGCATCAGTTGAGGAGGATGATGATGAGGAGGAGGAGGATGTCGAGGGAACTGAGGCTGATGACTCTGATCTGGTTGGTTGGATTTTTTTTTTTTAATTGATGTTATTATTATTATTAATTTGTTATTAATATTAAATATTAATAAATGATTAATTAATTATTGTTATTCTTTTTATTCATCTAGGAACGAGAAAGGAACAGACTGAAGAACAAAAAAGGTAATAAATGGCTTTCCTTATTTTTTTTGGATCAAAAATCATTCATTCGTTCATTCATTCATTCATTCATTCATTCATTCATTCATTCATTCATTCATTCATTCATTCATTCATTCATTCATTTTAGATAGATTGATTTTATGTAAAGCCTGTTATCTGACGTTGAATGTTGCTTTATAGTAATATTAAAATTATAATTATATTATTATATATTATTTGAATATATTATTATTAATAAATAATTAAATATTTAAAAAAAAATTTTATTTCAACATTTCTATCTCAACAGGTAGGAAGCAGGATGAACTCGATCCGATGGACCCAGCTTCGTATTCGGATGTGCCAAGGTGGGTTAATGGATTGGTTTGATTGATTTGCTGGTTGAATGGTTGGCTGGCTGGCTGATTGGTTGATTGATTGATTCATTGATTCATTGGTCGATTGATTCATTGATTAATGGTTTGATCTATTCAATTGCCTGCTTTCGTTTTGCATTACTTTTTGTTATCTTTGATTTTTTTTGGTATTCATACAATATATTACCGTACAATACAATACAATACAATACCATACAATACATTACAATACAATACAACACCATACAATACAATTCACTACCATACAATACCATACAATACAACACCATACAATACACTACCATACAACACCATGCAATACAATACACTACCACACAATGTTATTTCATACAATACAATCCCAAACGCATTCTACCCTTTAACCTCCCACAACAGGGGAGATTGGAACACTGGCCTGGACCAGCGTGGAAATGCCAAAACCGGAGTGGATGTGACCGCCTCTGGGCCCCTCTTCCAGCAAAGACCCTACCCCAGTCCAGGGGCAGTCCTTAGAATTAATAAGGGGGTAACTAAAGAGAAGAAATAATGAGGTCGGATGGTGATGAGATAGAGGCGGGAAGGGGTAAAATTGGGGTATAATTAAAAGGTTATAGGTCATTCTCTTTTGCACTAGGGGCTGTCTGCACTGCAGAATTAAGATGGGGCTCACCGAAGAGGAAGAAAAAAAATGAAGATGGTGGACATTATTAACGCTGGTTGTGACGTCATTCTATGACGTCATTATAACCGTTTTTTTTTGTTATTGTTTATGTTTACGTAGGTGTACCAAAGAGTATATATATTGGATTGGTACTTGTTGGATTTCGTTCGTCACTAATTTTAATTTTTACGATTCAATAAAATTAATTTAAATGTTCATGAAATTAATCCATTTTGTGGCATAAAATCTGAAAAAATCATAACGTGTTTAATTATGTAATGTATGTATGAATGAATGTATGAATGAATGAATGAAAGAATGAATGAACGAATGAATTTTCAACAATGTAACATGTTATATATTACGGTAACATGAACTTCTGTCGTTATGATAGTTTGAGATTTTCGTTCTTAACATTTTTAAACTTGCAGAAATGAAAAATTTCATCCTTTAAGATGTTTCAAATGTTTTTTTTATCTGAGTGTGTAATTTTAATTTGGTTAAAGTGTTGAAATGATAATGAATGAATGAATGAATGAATGAATGAATGAATGAATGAATGAATGAATGAATGAATGAATGGATGAAAAAATGAGCGAAATAATTATACAAGTATGAAAAAAGGTTTCTTTTAACGTTGTAATACATGCTGCAATTTGTCACTTCGATTTCTTTCAAAGTTTTAGAGGACTTATGAAAAAATTTATTAGGTTTTATTTTATTTTCATATACAAATCACATCTTCAAAAAATTATCAAAACCAGAACGGCACTTCTTTAAATAGCTGAGTAAGGTTATATAAGGTAGATATATTATATGATATGAATAATGTGTTACATACATACATACATACATACATACATACATACATACATACATACATACATACATACATACATACATACATACATACATACATACATACATACATACATAGCAAACATAAAAACTGCTCCTGATCATACCTACATGTAATGGAGATGTAGAAAAATCATCAGACCATAATTAGTTAATTGGTTACATAATTAAGCAGTTTCTTAACATTTCATTGATACGCCATGCTTATTGGTAAGTTAAATCACAGTAAAACGTATAGTATTTTGAAAGAATACCTCAGTACTAAGTCTTATTAAGTCTCTTGGAAGCTTCAAGCTTGGAATAACTATTATAACAACTCTTATTTTATTTATTTATATTTGTATTATTAATGATGTTGCATTATCTTTTTGATTCATTATCATCAACGTCATTATCAGCGTCATCATTATTATAATTATTATTCTTTCTTTCTTTCTTTCTCTTTCTCTCTCTCTCTCTCTACTCTCTCTTTCGCTCTACATCCTGTTAAATTCTCTTTCGCTCTACTTCCTGTTAAATTAATGCAAAACACATATATGTGTGTTAGTGTGTGTGAATGTATGTGTTAGTATGTGTTAGTGTTTTGTGTGTGTGTGTGTGTGTGTGTGTGTGTGTGTGCGTGTCATTGAGTGAGTGTGTGTGTATGGGAGTTAGTGTGTGTGTGTGTCATTGAGTGAGCGTGCAGTGATGTTCTTAAATATCTTAAATAACTCGTTAAATTTAACCGAGAGCAAGCAGTTTATAAATATGATCGATACGTCATTAACTTTAAATTTGCAAATCATTACGAGGAAATGATGTTATTAATATTTTTCCATTAAAAAAAACTTAAACTATCTGGGAGGCTGGGCTCGTGGAAAAGATAATGAGAGGCTAAATATATTAGTAAATGAATCCATCCATGACAGTTTTTGCAAACGATTCGACCGTAAAAGTCGTAAAATTCGTAAATTGAAGTCTAAACCATTTTACGATTTTTTATTTTCTAATCTAATTCAACACTAAATTGTAAAATAATAAAAAAAAGTGAATAGTTTTTCCTCTTACAAATTCAATTATTCAAAAAATTCACCAAAATTCGCCCAAATAGCTTTTGATCCAGTAACTATCTTCTAAACGATCATTCATACGACAGATAACAGCCTATCTAAAATAAATCTTCCAAAATCCTCACATTAAATATCCAGGACTTTCATTTGGATTTCTCGGTTTACACCTCCTTAGGGTTCCTTTAAAGGAATCCATCTTCTGCTTGTAGGATCGCTCCATCATCTCTCCCGCGCAATTACGGAATCTGAACCATCCGTTGAAAGCCGGATTGGGATGGTTCTGGATGAGCATTTCGAATGCCGTTTTACCGTGGCCAATCGTTGTGACGTATCTGGTTGAATAAATAAATGAATAAATTTATAAATATATGAATGAATAAATGAATATTATTGGTTACTTTTATCACATCGTTTGTAAGAATCAACAACACACACACGCACACACAACACACACCGTGTATTAACGCTTTCTACATCAATAATCTATTTTTCAAAAAATGTTTAAATTCAAAAATCATCCAACAACGAACATAAGATTCATTCTACTGAATACAATTTTGAAATTTAACACAAATAACAGTTGGATGATAAGTTGAGCTAAGCAGATTGTTGTATGTATCATAAGCGAACAAACAAATGAACAATTTATAATATTCCAAACAAACAAACAAACGTAAGAACAAATGAACAAACATACAAACAAACAAACATACGAACCGATGGTCCAAAGAAATTTTCATCTCATTGAATTATAATTATATTAATGAGCTAGTAGAAATTGTTTGTCATCCTCAACTATCATCATTCGTTTAATCGCTTAGTCATTTGATTTTTCATCCCAAAATATTCTTCTACAATTAATTCTGAATCCGTATGAAGTAATTCATTTTTTAAATTGTGCCATCATATTTAAAAGTTCATTGAATTTTTTTTCTTTATTTATCTATCTATCAATATTTTAATTATATACATATGTATGGTGTCAATTAAAGAACAAAAACAATACGTATTTGATTGGAGTATGTTATCGACCGCAGAACTCAAATGAAGAGGTAGAGGACAAAAGGAACTATTATACAAGGTCAACAAAAATTTTTTTGCTTCGATGGAGGATTTTAATTACCGTTTAAATTAGTAGAATTAAAAAGGTGAAAGACAGCAATACAGTCGTTGGTTGGATTATATAAATGATAATTCTCTGATGAGGAACAAACTAGAGGAAGCAATATTCTAGACTTAGTTATCTCATCTAGTGATAATCCTGTCCAGTATGTAGAAGTTGGAGAACACTTTTCATCCAGTGACTATCGACTAAAGTTAAAATTGGAACAACAAAATCAAATTTACTACAAACGGTAGGGTTCAATTTTTTCAAAACTAACTATGATTAAATAAAAATTAAATCCCGGGAACTGAAACTGGCCAAATCAGTTGAAGCAGTAGGAGTGCAGTAAGGCTGGGATTTATTCCTGAAAACGATAAACAAGTTGGTTTCAAAATATGTTCCGCAGTATATAGAATCAACAAAGAAGCGGCTTTGGATAATAGAAAAAGTACAGAAAAAAAGATATAAATATAAGACATGGAAGGTTTATCAAGAGTTTAAAAACCGTAAATGTAATAGGACACCTAATTTAGAAGAATCAATCCGAATGTAGTAGCTAGAAATCAAATACAAACAGAAAAGGCAGAAATCCATCTGTGCTAATAGAAAGGCCATTAAAAATTATGAAAAAAAATTGTCCGATAACATCAAAATTAACAGTAAAAGTTTTTCAGCTACGTGAGGAGTAGGCAAAAATACAAAATACAAGGTATGATAAAAAAAACAGTAAAAGAAGCAGAAATATGATCGTCATATTAAACCTATATAAAGGAATGGTTTTGACCTAAGTCGGAGTACTGTGTTCGCTTTGGATCAATAAAGCATAAATTTTTCAGCTGCAGAGTTGTCAACGAGTGGAACAAACTGGGAGATGAAATAATAAATATAAATTTTATTAAAGCAAACTGGGCAAAAATAGGATATTAAAAATGTCTCAGAGTGGTCCCGTCATAGAGTAGGTCTTCTTAGATCACTATGAAAAATTTGTTTTATGTTATGTTGTTTAGGGCGTTTAGTTTTAAGTTTGAAATTGAATTTCTTTTCTTTCTCAATCTTATGTCAGACCCTATATTTGTTTCATACTCATTTTTGGCAGCCCCCTACGTCCAGTACGGGGGACTGCCGCTCCCGCCTCTTCTAGTACGCCACAGCATGTTGAATAAACCAAATAACACGGTAGAGTAAGATATTCATGGTATGATGACATAATTTGGGGTGACAGGCACGAGGTTTGAATGGGAAAGTAAGTAATTGAATAAATACAATTATCTAAAGATACGTGAGATAATTTTACTTACCAATTAATATATAATCGGTAATTATGACGAAATATGTTGTAAGCAGTTAATGATAAGTTAATTAATTGAGAAATAATTTTTTCAATAATCCTCGTTTTATATCGGGTAGAAATATAACCTATTTTACTTTTGTTTAAATTTCATATTATTATTGCTAATAACTTTTTAACAATATTAATTTTATTTATAGATTTATTAAAAAAATTAATGTTAAAAACAAAATAATAATAATAATAATTAGATTCCATTAACATTATAATTGGGGTCTTTCACATTGAAAAGAATTCACTCCAATGACAGAATTTACCTCTATTGAATAGAACTACATTTTGTCAAATGGCAACTTTGGCTAGCATGTCGTCTCGTCTAGTTTTCGTTTCTAATTTTGTTGTTTCTTTGATTCATTTCGTTGTATTAAAATTAAAATTTCGTTTAACCAAGCTAAAATTAAAATTTCATTTAACCAAGCTATCTATAAATTTAGATTTATTTTCACAAATTCTAATGCTGCTTCTTTACCGCCAGCCATGCTACATGATAGTTCATTACATGGTAGTTTAGGGCAGTTATTCTAGTTAACTTGCTTTCTTTACTTTAGTTGTCATACCCTAATCCGTTTACTCTGATCTTAGTAAATATATGTTTCCATCTCTTAAGTTTTCTCATTGCGTGATAGGTAATGTACGTTGCATTTGAAACTAGGTCTGCCCGACTGCGGTATGTTACTTCCAACTGCTCAACACTACTGATCTGTAGCTTGCACAACAAACTGCAAGGGAATGTCTTGATTTTGAAGAATTTTTATTAATTTTTTTCATAATAAGTTTCATATTGTGTTAGCAGCTAACTATTTTATTACGTATTATAAATTTAACCTGAAAATAAATAAAAGAACACTTTTCTATTGAATTGAAAATATTTATTTTACAGATCCGTCTGTGTTTATTAATAAGAAGGCAATTAGCGATAAGTAGTTAGGAAGGTATTTTTTAGCCTTTTTTAACCGTTGGATCTATTTAGAGATTCTTAACTGTTTATACATTTGAAATTAATGTGTTGATTGATGTTGTTTATAAATTATTTTTAAAATGTTATTTGATACCTTGAAGATTTTAAAGATATTTTAAACTGTACGTTCTGTGATTAATTATATTAATTAATTTTTATACTTTATGTTGATGAATTAATGATGAGTCATAACTTTTACTAAGAATTGACAACTTTCAATTGGAAATTTTTTTGTCTGTTTTTCTCTTTAAATCTCTTTCGATCACTAACTCATTCACTTTTTCACTCATTTGTTGGCTGGTTTGTTCGCTTGTTCGTTCGTACGTTTGTTCGTTCGTTCGTTTGTTCGTTCGTTCGCTTGTTCGTTCGTTTTCTTGTTCATTCGATCGTTTATCCTTTCACCCAATGATTTCCATAAATAATTCAAACATCTTGAATATATTTAAACAATATATTCGTCAAACAATAATTAAAAAAATTTCGATATAAGTATTAATTGCACTGCGTTCCAATTTTAACAATTTTTTTTCAATGCTCACAAATGAATGGTTAGTTATTTTTCATACTAACTAATGAAAAAGTTCTGCCGACTATTAATTTCAAAGCTATTTGCCGATGTTAAAATCACCTTTCATTCTTACATGTGTTGATGTAGGTGAATATATATAAATATGAATAAACAAGTAAATAAATGTGTGTGTTGTGTGTGTTGTGTGTGTGTGTGTGTGTGTGTGTGTGTGTGTGTGTGTGTGTGTGTGTGTGTGTGGCATGGTAAATTTTTATATAAAACGGTTGATGTCTTGCAGTATTCCAAGTGAATATTTTTCAACAATATTTGGATAATCGGAGGATTTCAATACAAAAAAAACTTCTCTCATTGAGTTTATACATTTTTCAAAAGTAAGTGTTTGTTTATGATTTTTTATTTTATTTTTTTTATTGGTTTGAAGCTGTAAATTGGAATAGTTTTAGCGAACTGAAAATTTTTTTGTTAAATTCTAACTAAAGCCTGTTTCAGAACTTCCAATTTTTCTCCTATTTTGGAAAGTGTCAGGAGTTTTGGAAAAAGTTCATTTTGTTTATAAAGTATCTCGTATTTATTAATAGCAGTGGTATAGAATTGTAAGGCACTGTTGAAAAAGTTTGAAATTTCTCAATCAAGAAGTGGGAGTGGGATATTTACCTGGAGACAGAGTCGAAAATATGTATCCCACTTTGACGTCACGGATAAAACACAGTTTTTTTATATAAATTGAAAGAATAATAACTAAAGACAATGATAATAATTTTAATATAATAATAAACATTTAGATTTGTGCAGCATGTCTGATGAAAAGATGGAGACGGACTCTGATTATGAGATGTCTGAAATGGACGAAAGCACCAGTAGTAGCAGCAGCAGCAGCAGTAGTACATCAGATTCATCATTTTTGGAAGTCATAGATTTTTCAGACAAAGATGAATGTGGTTATCCTTTAAAATTAAAAATTTTCCAATTAGTTTAAGATGTGGCATTTGTTATTTATTATTTTATATAATATTTCATGTGGTAGTGTAATCAATTGTTTATCGTCAAACAAATAAATGAAATTTTAATTATTTTCAATTTGTTTGTGGCTATCAACAAATCCTATCTTCTTCTTTCTCGTGCCTTTCCCTTTCGGGACATTGGCGACAATCAACCTCCACAAAACCCGATCTTTAATAGATATGATTTAATAGATATACAAATTATACAAAATAACCTACAATCAAACAGCTATACATTTTGAAGTGGAGACAAAACGACCTAGAGGTTTCGCTAATGCTGATGTGCTTGGAAGAGGTGTGCTGATATTCACCAAAGAAGATGTGACTTTGTATGCTTCCCAAAAAAAAATCGCTGTCATTTGGAAATATGGGTGAATTTTTTAAATAGTTTTGCAGATTTTTAAAGTTTTCGATTATGTAAACTGCGCTACAATATACAAGCATTAAAAACTCACATAAAAACACAAGCCATTAAAACGAAACAGTTTATATTCATATAAAAATTGAAATCTTTTGAAAATTCATTCAATCAGTTTAAACAAAATAAACAAAATTCTGATTCAACTTTTAATTCAAATTCCTGTCATGATTTCATTCCAAATAACGGAACGAAACAACATATTCATTCAATTCATATTCATACATTCTCATTCATTCAATTTACGACTAAAATTAAATTTGAAAACATTCAACTCAGCCTACTTACTAGCGATTACCTTTTACTCTTTACAGCCAGATAAAATCATTCAACTACACCAAGGGCACTCTTAGACTGCTGATAACGAACCATCGTAATCCTAACTCCTGCGGCTGGTTCATCTTTGAAAAATGTTCCGACGTCCAAATGTTAAAAGTCATCAGGATGCTGTTCGGGAATGAAGTTTCGCAGGATTCTGAACCGGAAAATGAGAGTACTTAAAAATGGGAGCCTAGACGGAACCACAGCACCAGCCTCAAGTTCCTAATTTTAAAAAAATTCATTCAGTCATTTTGAATTTTGCCAAAAGTTTATGTTGTCATATGATTCGTTCTGTTGCTTCAATATTTTTGTTCAACCAAAATTAAAATAACTAACGTGATTTTTTTCTTGAATTACTCAATAAAATATAGAAACATACGTTTTTCCGACAGTTAAAAGTTTTTAGATTATTTTGAAAACTAACTCATAAAATATCAAAACTTTTTAAATAATGACATCTCCACTTAAACTTTTAATTCGAAAACCAAATTTTGTGGTGTAATGGTTAAAGTGTATGGCACTGCCATCGCGGTAACCAAGTTCGAGTGCAAGAGAGATCCCCATACATACAACCGTACGACATTTTGTCACATTTAAAAACGTGAGCGCGTCTGAAACGTTTGACCAGCGCTATATAAATTGATCTTAATAATACGTAATCGTACACACACGCAAACATTATCTTACATACACACACCACACATACACACACACACACACACACACACATCGTCATGCATACATATTTCATATAACTGATAAAATGGATAAGATTGAGATCCATTGATAATTTGTCTACAGTTAATCATACTGCAGGGAGGCTTGCTAAATACTTCACTGATAAATGTGGTAGAAGTGACAACGAAAATCTAAATGATTATTTCAACTGTTTGTTTCTGACAAATGAGGAAGAACGTGTTTCTGTTATCATTTAGATATCAGAATTACAACAGTTTAATTGGGGTGAATTGATAAAATTATACCGATTTGACACAAAACTCCGCTGATAAAGTAAGGCTTGAAGTGATTGTTTTAATTTCCTCAATTTTTTCCTATAAAATGAAATGAAGTGCTAGTGACTTTGAAATGAGAGTCACTAGTTTGGTATTTGAAAAAGTTCTTCAAATTTGAAATGGACAAAGTAATAAAAGCAGGTTAGCAACAGTTTTTGAAACTTTTGTTCTTGGTGAATGTACTTAAAATCGTAACGTAAAAATTGTAAGTATACATGTTCTTTTGGGAAATCATTTTAGTTCTCTTCGTTTTCGCTAATTTTTGGTGAAATTTTTAAACCAACCATCCATCACAATAAATAGTTGTAATTTCAGCGCAATTTTAATTTTGAAGATGAGTTTGTGTAATTAATTTTAAAATAAAGATAGTTTTGAATTCCTCTTTTTTTTGATACATTAATGATAATATTTTTGAAATTGTAGAAGCTGATTCAACAACATCTGGAGAAGAATGGTCTGCGAATGGTTAGTGCTGGAATGTGTAAAAAAAGTTGAATAAAATTAAAATCTAAGAGTAGTTAAAACAATATTCAATTAGAATTTGAATTTCCTTAGTCCTCTACATCACTAATAATTTGAGTTTAATTGTGTTGGTGTAAAAACTGAAGATGAAATTTTGGAATTAAAGAGTCCGTAGATACAAAATAAAATTTGAAAATATCGAGTTCACATAACTTAGTTCAAATATGCTTTGGAGACATTACTGTTATTTCAGGGTGTCTTAGACGCTATAGGGCACTATATAATTAACATTATTATTAATCTTTTATTATTATTATCATCAACAAATGTTGTTTCTCCTAAGAAATGTCGTTTGAGGTGGTTGTCGTACAACCTTCCCGACTCAACCAACATGCCTTCATCACAATTCTAGATTTTGTGGTCGTCGTCGGTGTAGGCGATGAACGAGAGGTGATTTATTTCAAGTAAGAGTAGAGATTTCTATCGATGAAATATTTATGTATATATGTGATGAATTATAAACTTAGAAAAATGAACCTTTAATAACTTCTTTCGAAAGAGTTAATGAAATTTTAAAATTATGATTATGCTCGAACAACTCTAACAAAATTCATTGAAATATATAAAAATTTAATAAAATATATAATGAATAAAGCTCTCTAGCGATATCAGGAAATACGCACATGGAGCCGATGAGTAACTTGATACGGGAGGAATGGCATATTTTTCAATCTTCGACATCTTTCACCATTTTTGAGCTGTTTCATAAGAATCTCAGGAAGTGGAAACATTCAGCTTACGTAACAGAAGACATCCCGTACGTCATACTCAATAGGAAGCTGTCACTGGATTTTACCGATTATGGTGATTGAAGATGATGTTGGTGAAAGAGAGTTTGTCCGAAATTGAAAAACTTTATTTAAAATTTTTTTTAAAGCCTTAGACAAATTGCAATAAAATTATCAGAAAGAGACTATTTTTTGTCAATATTTTTATAGGCACAAGTAAGAAAAATCAAAAATTAATTCGTTCTTCTTTAAGAAAGACAAAATTTTCAGCTAATATCACTTTACAATGTGTACATGTCTGTAAAGTTATAGGTTAATATTATTAGGTTATTTTGATAGAGACTGAATTTATTTCGCTAAAACACGATAAATTATTAATTATGAATGAAATTATTCATAATACACGATAAATTATTGATAAATAACTGTTTCAATTATTGTTTGAGCTATTAAAATAGATAATTTAGTTTAAAATAAATAAAATAAAAAAAAGTTACATTATGAGGCAAGTTGGAAATAAAAAAATTACAATTTATGATCCATTGACATTTTATATGAGAAATAAAGAATATGTTTGGCTCACGTTTCAATAATGACAAAAACTGAATAACTTGCGTATAATTACATCATTCTAGGACAAATTTAAATTGAAAAATAATTTAATTACGCTTCATCACGCCCACACACACATACTACATGAATCATTTTAGAGAAGTCGTTAATTTATGTAAATTTACAATAATTTATGAATGCGTATGTGTGAATTTAATATTCTGACAAAATTCTTTACAGTCCAATTTTGCAACAAAGTTTCTTAGAAAATAGATAATAAACCATCCAATAATATAACATAGGCTGCTTTGAGTGACAAATTGACGTTCGTTGTCATACATTGTATTGTCAGAATTATGAAATAATACTGACTAAAAATACTGCAAAATTTTCAACGCGAAATTTATTCACTCGATAGGGGGCATGGTGCAAGTTAATTTACTCGATAGGTGACAACGTATTTTTTTTGTTTTGCAATTTAGATGACGTCATAAATTATTATAAATTATTTTAAAATTTAATTAGTACTTTTTCTGATTAATTGGACATGCCTTGTAGATTTTTATGTTTTAAAACACCCGAAACAAAATCTAATTTTGTTTTGATAAGGAAGGGTGTGAAAAGACTTAGAAGAGAAACTGGGTTCACCAGTTAGAGAACTGGGTTGACTAGTGAGGCAGCTTCGAATAATCAGTGCCTCTTCTGGTCCCTAAGAGACTTAACGCGTGATTCTATGCTCATTGGCATAGTTTCAGAAACGCCTTAAGTTCTCAAAAGTGGATTCAGTACGAGACTCTATGCTCATTGGCATAGTTTCGCACGCGTACTGAAGACACACAATTTGTTACCGGTGTTGTTCTGACTCTTGTTGTCTTGTGTTGGTCGTGCGAAAGCCGATCAGACTTGACGGCCCAGTGAAAACAGGCCAAGGTTGTGCGAAAGCCGACCGACTCACAGACAGGCCCAGTGAAAACAGGCCCTTGGTCGTGCGAAAGCCGATCAGACTTGACGGCCCAGTGAAAACAGGCCAGGGTTGTGCGAAAGCCGACCGACTCACAGACAGGCCCAGTGAAAACAGGCCTTGGGTTCTGTGAAAACCAATCCGCCTCGTTGTTTTCTTTCTTGTGCTATTTGTCGACCTAGGGTTCTTTGCTGGATTCTATACTCATTGGTATAGTTTCACACGCAGCTTGCAATTTCCATAGGCTCCGATTTTTGTGATTCATTTTTTTTTATTTATTGGAGTTGTATCGACATCACCATCGGATACACACGTCGAAGTTGTACGATTAAAACGCCAAGAGACATATTCCAAGTTGAAGACCCAACAAGAAGAGTTCTAATTCCTGTATTCCAGTTTGTTCATTGACATTTACATTATTATAGAGTTCATTAGTTCAATTCCTTTTATTTACTTCCGTCGATTAATAAAATTGTTATCGAATATTTTTCTTTACGCGTTCGTGTGTTGCTCAGTAAAATCATATAATTCGAAAAAGCCCAGTGCCACACAGGACTGGTCGAACTCACGATAAAAATATACACAAAAATTATTGTCGGACCATACAAAAATTCCCTGAGAAAGATAGAGGAGGAGATTGCTTCCTCTTATCATTTTAATTTATTATTATTTAAAATTTCCGACAATTGGCGCCCAACGTGGGGCCTTGTCACCCTTTTAAAAATCCTCCTCCTCCTCATTAATTTATTATTTATTATTTTAAAATTTCCGACAGTATGTAATTGTTAAAAATCTTTGAAACAATTATCATATAAAATCTTCCTTTGACTACTACCCTATATGTAATTTGTGTTTATACATATATAATTACATATAGGCAAACATATATTCTATATTATATATTTATACGTTGGAAGTATATGCTAAACTAGATAGAATTTGTAAGTTTTGGATGTTTGCAATGGTAAATTAAGCAAAATATAAACTTCAGCTAGGGAAACGTTTCAGTTTCGATTCAACTATACAACTATTCTCGATATAACAATAAAAGTTGTTAGTTTAAATAAAAAAACACTTGTTTTAATAGAATAATCATTTTAAATCCATACCCCCTTTCACACAAAATTTATGGTTCCCAAGAAGCTCCTAGGTCTTCCCTAACATGGACAAATAATATCTATGTATTTGTATATAGAATAAAAATGGGTTATTTACTGTGAAATTTGTGAAGTGCATTTGAATGGGTCAAAAAATGTTTGGTAATAATAAACAGACATTAAAAATTTAGTAGAAAAGAGTTCGTTTATCGCCGAGACAAAACTTTTGTCATTTTTAGATGCGAAGATCAATAAATCTTGAAAAATATCTAGCGAGTTGTGAATGTAGGTGGTACATAACTTGTACGTGAAGTAAGATCAAATGTGCGTTGAAAATGTTTTACACTTATAAATAACCGAAATTTTGTAAGAAGTCCTCAAACGAAAGCTTTTTTGTCATAGAATTATTTGCTGGTTAATTTTGGTTTGAAATTTACTAAAATAAATTTATTTATTACAAAGTAATTAAGAAACTTTTATAATCAATATTCAAATTAATCGTTTGACTCGAGTTAACCATCTACAAATATAGCTAGTACATAGTGCGGTGTTTTGTTTGAAACTTCACAAGATCGGAAAGATGGAACCTAATTGTAGGAAAAGGAAGGCCGCCTGTATTAGTGACGTGGAAAATAATCCAGGTCCCTCGTCCTTATTATCGTTTTCCAAATAATAAATTAATTATTTCTTAATTATTTCATTTTTCAGATGTGTGTAGATTTTAATTTTTGAAAAATGTTCACCTGTTAAACTCGCGTTTATCATTATTATGAAAGAAAATACTTTCTACTCGTCTTCTAATATTACAGATCTGATTAATTTTTATATATTTTATGTCTTTATGACGTTCTTGATTTAATTTTTTAGATTAATTTCATATCTATATTGTATTGTATTGTATTGTATTGTATTGCATTGTATTGTATTGCACTGTATTGTATTATATTATATTGTATTGCATTTTATTGTATCATATTGAGGTTTAAACCGTTCCCCGATTTTTTGACTGCTGCAACCGTGAACAGAGGAATAGACAAGATCTATAGACATGTGTAGAAATAAATTATCACAAATATAAAATATATAATATTTATTGTTCATACATATTTTCACTACCTCAAATTCATCGTCATAAATACAGCAACATTTTTTTTGACAGATTTAAAATTTGAAGTGTGGATAACAACAGGCAGAATTCAAGGTTTCGGAACATTGTGTTTGGGTCGAGATGAAGTGACACTGCATGCCTTTTACACAAATGCAAAATTTGTCTGGGATTATAAGTAAGATGTGCAAATAATTTTTTTTAAACATACTTTGGACTATGTCTGTCTTCTCTCTCTCTCTCTCTCTCTCTCTGTCCGTCCGTCCGTCTGTCTGTCTGTTTGTCTGTCTGTCCGTCTGACTACCTATCTCATAAATTATAAATGTTATTATGATTAGAGTTACGGTTTGATTTGACGTATGATTTGAATTGTATGATATTTGTATGATATGATTTGTATGATTTGAGGTGTTTTGTTGTAAAAAAAAATGTTTCAAATTTCGAAGAAACGACATTGTAGGTTTTATTACATGAAAAATTCTCAATGTGAAATATGAAAATAATTCAATTACTCACTGCTACTCAGCATGAAATGGAAATTTAATTTTTCGTATAACTTTAATTTGGAAGTTTGAAACAAAAAGTTGATTAAGCTAGATACTGTTAAAATCAAAACGGCGTGATGAACATTATAGCGAGAATTATTTTGATATTTTTAACATGATCATTCAAGATGTTTTAAAACTATGAAACTATTTTCAGACAGATTAAATATTTCAATTACGTGGGTGAGACATTCGAACTGCAAATTATGAATCAGTCGGATGCAGGCGCCTCTGGAGTTTTCACGTTTGAAGGTTGCCCTGGGGATAGAATGCTGCTGGAATTTCGGAGGAAACAAAGTAAATTTTTTACACGTCACAGCATTGAATAGAAACATTAAAAGATATTAATAACGTGAATTCTTGTCTTGTTGATTCAAGTTATAAAAAATAAACTTTTTTAAATATTGGTAAAACAATTTTCAAACATTCTATACAACGACAACCCTATATGCAAATACGAAATAAGTTAATGGGAAATGTTTTTGAAAAGAATTAAAGAGATATGAAATATTCTTTGTTGTTATTTATTGGTTTAAGAAAACTTTTGAACAGTCTGTACTGGTAAATTTCTGCCCACATCCAACATTTTGCTTCGGAAACAATGTCACAAAAAAAGGAAAAAATTACTTTTCCTGCCAAAAGCTTAATTAATAAATTATTTGTCTATTTTTTCCGAATTTATGCCAATATCAAATAAAGAGCGAATGAAGCAGTTCAGCCAAATACCGCTTAAAAACCAATACAATATTTTGAAAGGTATGCATGAGCATTATCCCTCAAAATTGTCCAAAGAATGTGGAATGAATGATTTTCCTTTCCAAGACGTCTGCTTCCACGGCATCGTTCACCATACCGACACCACCTGCAATGAACATTCTAGTATGGTGGACATTATAAAAGTTGTTTCTGCCGATAAGTTTGCAGTCTGTCCATAATGTAAGAATGATTTAAAGGAAGGCAAATTTATCAAGCAAATGCCATGCGGACATTCTACTCCCCACCGCTCTGCGACAAAATAGCTATAGGAAAGGCCAGTGTGTCCTTTGCGATTAACAAAAGTAAAGTCAACTATTATACAAGAATGGGATGCTGATGTAGGCTAAAATGAATTCGGAGTTATTGTATTTGGCATTAATTTAGTCACTAAACCATTAGAAGATGGCAACAATGTTAAGTGCTACATTGATAATAACTTGAATGTATGGGACTTCGTGGATCATGGTGATAAAAATGGTGATGATGGTGGTGGTTATAATCTCCTGTAAGGAAATATAATAATTAAGGATTATAACCAGAAAAACGCATGTTACATATGGAGTAATTTATTTCACGCATATCAGCTGTTAAAGTTATCTTTATTTTATTAACTGAATTATTAACATTATGATGTTCGATGTTAAAGGCGTGACAGGAACTGAAGATATTCACTTGCCGTGGCAAATTTTTCACGCGTGTATCAACCGATAGTTTAAAAAACTTCTCTTTGATACATTCGTAATTCTTGATATCTCTAAAAAATAATTTTGTAAAATTTCAGATTAATATCACTTTAAAAATTAGTTTAGATACTCTTTAAAAAATGTTTCTTTGATTAAACTTTGACTAGAGTTTAGTCGTCCTTCTAATTGTTTAATGTAAATTGAATTGTGAATTTATTGCATTGAAACAAAATAATTAACTTCCTTTCTTTTATTAAGGTTCAGAATTTTGTAAAATGAATCAAGTAGGTATATATAAAAATGAGACCAGAAAATGAAAACTATCTTTAAGTAAATATTCAGAACATTCAGGGCTAATTTTATTTTCAAATAAATCAATAACTACTCCTACTTGAAATCGATCACAACGTGTTGTGAATATGTACTAAAAACAATGGCACTATTCTGAACGATTGCAATAGCATGGCCGGTCCGGAGTGTTTTGTTAGAAACATCAGTTTCCTCTACATACCCGTCAAAAGAATTTTCCTCTGCAAATGAAGGATGTGAAACCGAACGCGTCAGATAGGGCGCAATCGAACTCGGTATCAAACGAATAACATTTAAAAATTTAAAATTTTTAAAAATATTTTAAATATTCGAATACAATGATATTGAATTGCATAAAATTTGTTAGAAATTTTCAAAATTTAAAAAAATTCACCATTCACATCGAAGGTATTGTCGTCTTTCTCCGAGCACATGTTATCAAAACTGTCATCCTCATCGTCACTCGCTTGAGAAGATGTTACATGCATTATTTTTATAAATTGATTTAAAATTTTTTTTTCAAAAAACAAACTTTTTTATGAATTTGTGGTGTTTTTTTTTTAAATTTTCCTTCCTAGCAACATTCTACATTTGAAGTTTATCTCGAATGCGAAAGAACAAACAGAACACTAAACATATATATAAAATTATAAATAACTTCTATTTCTAATCGATTTATAGAATGTAAAACAACAAATGCTCAATGTGAAGACGTAGACATGCATGTCTGTTATCACGGAAACATAGAAACATACATTGCATATTAAAACTTAAATGATAAAATCCGTCTCAAAACTGGAAAAAATTTGAAAAAATGGCCGAAATCTCCAAATAAAATATTAGTTTCTTTAAAATTTTCAACTATGATTTTGTATTTTTTTGTGAAGTACTTGCACGTTGTATCTGTAATCTATCACTGCCAGTATGGGTATAAGTACTTAGGTGTCAAGTGCAAGTACAAACGCTTAACATTGTTACTCAAGTACCAATGCTCCAAACACAAGTTAACAGTTATAGTAATTTCCTATGTTGAAACAACTTAACTAAACAATGACGAAGAAAAATCTTACTAGATGGATTGTACCAGAGATTCTTCTTTTTGTATTTTTCTAAGAGCAACATATAAACGTCAAACGCGTTTTTGCACCTGAATTGGTAGTAGGCTTCTGGTGGCAAACCTTCAACGCGCAGATCAGCGTCAATACAAATTTCATCGTCTTTACTGTCGTACTGGTAATTTTGGATATCACTGAGAAAGACAGAGAGAGGGAGAGAGAGGGAGAGACAGGGAGTTTTATCAAACTTATGAGTAAAGTTTTCCAGTAATGTTGAAAAATTTTAAACGAAACAAAGTTTCAAACAAAAATAAAAGCTTCTAAAAAAGTGTTCATTTCAATTTTCATTCATCACGCTAAACGATGCATCACACACAACGCATGCAATAGGTTGAGTATGTAGTATGTAGTATTTGAACCAGGTCACTGCAAAACAGGACCAAGTGACCTTAACCACTCGGCCATCACGCCGCCCGAACAAGCCACAAATCAACAAAATTTTCCTGTTTTCATTCATAACATAAGGATTCTTACTTGTAATCAACTACAAATTGTTCGGAGCCTTTTCTCAGAATGAAGGCATTATCTTGAACTATGATTTTGCCGGGACCGTATAGATGCTTTATTACAGAGCAGCCAGATGTTTTCTGTACAACCACATCAAAAGAATGTTCCTCTGTAAGTTAATGATACGACAAAAAAATGTTATAGCTGAATGTTGAGGCAAAATTTTAATAATTGAAGTTTATATCAATTAAAAAGTATTAAATTATAAATTTACAAAATGGTTAATGTGTTAGAAACGAATATACCATTCACGTCTGAATTGGTTGTATTCATTGAAGAGCTAAGAGAGGTGCCATCTTTAAGGGCCACACTGTCAAACCGTATAGTTTGACACGATATTTTTACTGTTTTAAAAAAAATTTTCAAATTCAAAATACATGTATAAAATATTTAATTTTTCGTAGTAGCTTTTTAAGCTATTTGAACACACACGTTCTTATCTGAAGCTATCTTGATGCTTCACAATAGAAACGTAGACAAAATATTTTTGTGGGGAGCTTGCGATTTTAGCGACTTATTTTTGCTTCTGTCTCATTTTTGACAAAAATGTATTTATGTAGACAGGTTGAAACAATTGTTAAAGAAAATTTATATAAATATTTTGGTAACTTGAACTATAACCCCTAACAAATTTTTTCAACTGGAGTTAACTTCTTTAACTTCTAGGTTTGTAAATCGATTTTCCATCTGCTGAAACCGCCACTCCAAACACGAAACCAAAGTTTTCGAAAAATTTAAGGTTAAAAAATGTTACATTGGGCTAAATTAGAAACAAAATGGATTAAAATTTATTGAATATCTCCTAGTAGGCTAATTTACAATGTTCAAACAACAGAACACTAATTAATTTTTAAAAAAAGACGAAATAAACTAACTTTCTGGAGGTTTGTTTAAATTTTTCGTAAATGCTTCCCACTTTTTTATGAATACTTTAAGAATGTCAAATGGTCTTTTGTAGTAAAAATTGAATTTTTCAGTTTTTGACAAAACCAAAACTTCAATTTCATATGCAGAATCATCACTGGAAAATGTCCCGATATCTCTGTAAAACGTTTTATTGAATTCATGTGAAATATTTCTTTAAAAAAACCTACTCAACATTCTTCAACAGTACCTACCATTCATAACTATAATTCTAGCAAAAAACTTTACGAGACTTATTTCATAAATATTTGAGTTTTTATAAATTTGTTATAATGTCTTAAAAAATTAAATAAAAATGAATCAATCTATTATTCTACATTCAATAAATTCTTATAAACATTTATTTTCATTTCATTAAAATAAAGAACTTGAAATCTACCTACTTGAAATCAATCCAAACTTGCCGGGAACACTTCTTCAGAATGAGGGCACTGTCCAGCAATATGAGTGTGGCGCGGCCGTTCACGCGATATTTCCTTCCAGTAACATCTCTCGTTATAATCACATTAAACCACTTTTCTTCTGCAAATGAATGAAAAGACAAAATTCTTATCTTTGATATAGAGGAATGACGAATCGATTGAAAGTTTTTGTCAAAAAAATGAGCATTTTTAAAATTATGAGCTTTGAAATTTTTCAGATAGCGTTCGTTCTTCACATTTTGTCAACCTACTATTCAAATCAATATCTAAAATCAGTTCTCCAAATTTTGCCTTTCCATCTCCAAGACCATTATTTTCAACTCCAGAGTGAAGCGTTGTGTCAGAACCTTCAAAATATCGTTATTGTAGTATTACGAAAACAAGAAAAGGTGTGAATATTGTCCTGTAGTCATTCAATTCAATCAACATTTCGGAATAAACATCAATCGACATTTTAGAATATAAGTCATCATCAAAACGTTCAACATTTCAAAACGTTTTACAAATATTTCCACCATTTTCCTTCAGAAATATTTCTGACTCGGCCATCATACTCTGTAACTATTTAGATTACAAACCAGAAACAACACTAATTTAAAAAAAGAAGCTACTCCGAAGCATCGGTGCTAAGTCCCCAAACTTTATTTGAAGGCTAAAACAGCGCTTTCGCCTAAAAGTTTCATTCACTCCAATTCAGAAAAAATTTCTAACCTTCCATTTTTAAACCTGTTACCAGCACAACATATAATTTTATTTTTGTGAAATAATCTCCATCTCATCTTCTTTTAAAGAGGAAAATTCAGAAATCGTATCAGGAAATGTGATGACAAATCACATAATCTCTTAGTCAACAGTGTTCGATATGAGAAATCTCTAAAGCCGCTTCGTCGCAACATAATTATCTTATTATAAATTTGTCCCAAACGAGCAAATATAACTTTAATAATAGCAATACCATTTCTGATTTGTCAGAAATGATCAATTATAATGTTGTTTGTGACAAATGAAGAAAAATAAATTGGTATATGTACACTTTACATTATGATTCAAATCTAATCAAAAACGTGGCAAATTTTCCCAGAATTCAAAATGAAACCCATTTTCGGTTCAACTCCCATCTTAAGCTTTCTACAATGAACCGTTCAAACAGTTCAAATCACTGAAAATAATGAACTCCTAAATTGTACTAGTTAGTTAGTACCTACACCGAATTATTTACTTAACTAATTAATTATTAATAATTAACAATTAACAATTTAGTTAACCAATGATCAATTTCCACAACACCAGACGACGTATAGGCCCACAGAGAGCATTTTTTATCAATATAATTTCAAATGCTTAAGCTGGTGGTTAATTAATATAATAGACCAACACAAAAGCTCAATTCATCAAATTATTGTTATTCAATCAGTTGATTGTAAATGGTATATATATATATATATATATATATATATATATATATATATATATATATATATGTTTATCAAAAAAATTGTACGAAATTTGTAGATTATAAACTAAAATTAAAAGTAATCTTTTGTAAAAATCATTGAATTCAGAATAATATGCGGCTTCATTGTCTCCATTCTTTAGGTTCATATGTTCACATGCGCACTAAAACAGATCCACTTTGTCTTACTGGACAAAACATATTTCGATCAAATTTAAATGTTCACGTATAATTACATTAAATTTACATTTAAATATGTCTAGCTAAGATTTAGAATCAAAGTTCAAACGTTAAACCTGATTTAAATCACTTTTTCATGAAAAGCAATGTTAATTTCTTTTGAAATTTAGCAAATTAAATATTGACAAAGGTCTACGAGTTATAACACGTTTTCAAAAACTAAAAAACGCTTCATCTATAATTACTTTAAAGCCTTTTAAAGTAATTATAGCCTTTTAAATTAGTAAAGTAATTTATAATTACTTTACTAATAGTTTGGTTTGCTTTTGAAATAAATGATTTAATTTTTTGAAAAATTATCGCTCAATCTGGAATGGAATTGTGGGTTTTTTTGGGTCAAAAAATTTCGCTAACTAACAAAAAGATTCTGAAAAACTAAATTTGAATAAAAAATAAAATAAAGAATGTGATCTTACCAAAGTCTCATCTTAATTTGGATTCAAACGTCTTTTTCGTTTATAGGAATTCAAACTCATTTGGCTGACTAATTTGAATTGTTCTACATCAACTTGATTTTTTAGACTTATTAGTGAAAGGTCAAGACATCAAACATTGATTCATTTATTCAATTTTCAAACATAGATGAAGGATAATAAAAAAGTAACTAAAACTCAATCTAAACAAAATTCATTCAAGAATAATAAGAAAGGTACCATTAAATTCACACACAATAAATACATTAATCATCTGACCCTTAACATTATTAACACAACTATTTAAAATCGAACTAATCTATATATAATGGCAAAAATTAGTTATTAACATTAGCATTCAAGTATAGGCTAACTACATAAATAGGGTATGAAAATAAAACATTGTGTTTGAGATTAATTTCGTATCGACAAATATTGCACGTACAAGTGTTATAACAATTTTTCATTTAGAAAATACGTCTTTTCCAAAAGATACATTACCAGCTGCTTCAAATGATTCAATACATTCGGTCTTTTGTATGTTAATTAGCCATTTTTTAACAAGTGTTTAAAAACTACTTAACTACAATTCCACAATCGTTTGTCATCTTCTTATTTTCTATTTTTACTCATCGAATTTTCACCAAAGAAAATTAATTCCTTCTTAGTGTTCATTGACTTTTTGCCATAGCCAATCATACCTTATTACCACTCATAGATATTTTACAACTAAGAACTATTTCCTTATCACTACTTAATGACTTTTTTCCATGGAAAACTATTTCCTCATTATCACTCTTTGATCTATTTCCATAGATATTTAATTCCTTCAAACAATTTCTGACTTTTTGGCATAGATAGCCATCTTCTATTATCGCCTTCGGACTTTTTGTAATCAAAAATCTTTTTCATTTCATGGCCTGGAACGTACTCGAAGTACATCCAATCTGAGTATTCGGCGATGAAGAGTTGGAAAGAGGTATCGCTGCACGTGGCTTTCTGCAGCTGTCTGAAACAGGTAAAATTTATGTTTTAATAACGTATAAAAAAATTATTCATACTATGTTGTTTATTTGTAGTAGTAATATTTATAATAAAAATGCTTTTTTAATTTCCCCAAAAACACAAAAACTCTAAAATTGTGTCTGAAACAGACAAAATTCATGTTTAGTAACATATAAAACCATTATTTATTTTATGTTGTTTATTTGTAGTAATAATATTTGTAATAAAATTGCTTTTTATCGTTCATTAGAATGTTATAAACTCTAAAATTGTGCCTGAAAAAGGACTGGGTTTTGTATGAAATATGCGAGGATCGCAATATGACTGAAACAATTAAACCGTTACACTTCTCTTATTTATTTTCATCTCTGATGTATCAAACACACACACACACACACACACACACACACAGCAGAGCGCATGGAATTACGCCTAAATCAACACACCACACAAACTGTACGAAAATAAACGGGTATCTCTTGTATTAGAGCCCGGTAACTACAACAGCAGAACTTGGCGCCTTCATCTTAGCTTGGGGAGTCCGCTTAGTTAAGATTTACTCTTTTGGAATGCCCCAATATGTAACAAATTTATTGTTTGTTCATATAAACGAGTATAGACATCAATATCTTGCCGGTCAATAAACTTTTCAAATACAAAAACAACATGCAATACTTACTGGTAGGTCCAAGTTTTTTTCCCGTCCTTGTACAAACTCCTCAGAGTCACAGCGTCATCATCGAATGTCAGCCAGCCTGGGCCGTAGATGTCGCACATGTCCGAGATTTCTGTCAGTGACGTTTGCACTTCAAACCGGTGTACATCTTCTTTAAAACAATTATAATTATAATAATTATAATTTTTATTTAATAATTTTTTTTATTATGCAGCTCTAGCATACCAATGTGTATGCAGGTCGTGTGGTGTGGTATGGACGTTGCACACGACCTACATAAAAACATCAAAACCAAAATTTTTGTAAAATAACTGTTCCAAAATTGTTAATATTTTTGTTATATACACAGACATTTTACAGTTAACTAAATTGGATTTTGTTTAGAAGAAAAATTTATCTTAGCTATCCAAATTAAAATGTTTTCACATAATTCGATCCACAAGTTATTTAAATATTCAAAACCTACCTTGAGGTATATGAAAGTACAATGCTTTATTAAAGAGAAATAAAGTTTTTACTGAATATATTTTTTTTCGTTGCTTCAAAATTTTCCAAATCTTGGTTTCCATCTTTGCCTTTTTTTGAATCATCCTGAGATAATTTAACTTCTTCTCTTACTTGTTTTTTATCAGACATTTTTTTGTACTTTAGTTTTGAAAAAAATTTTAAAAAACCGAATACAAATTTAACTCTATTAATTAACAGAATTAAATTGAAAAGATTAGATTCTATTAATTAACAGAATTATATTGAAAAGATTAGACCAATAAATATTTAGATAAAGAGATCTTGTCAATTTATATGGAGCCTATCATATAATCCACGGACTGACAGCGTCACATTACTGATCACATGCTTAAATATATCACCGTGAATTAATTTGATTAATTTATTTCAGGTTGTAGATCTGACAAAGTTTAAAATTAGTTGTGAAGAATGAAATAAATAAATAAATAGGTTATTAATAACAGTTACTTGGTTTAATAACTTAATTTTTAAAACTTGAGCCAATTTCGATTACATATGCATATTATTACATGAAATTGTAAAAACTTGACAACATCAACTAACTGATTGATGACAAACCATCTATCAAACTGTTCAAACCATGGACATATCCTACACATCCATGTATCAAATCGTTAGCACATAAGTGATAGTCACTCACAGTTAACATGTTCAAATAATTAATAATGATAACTATTTTTGATAATTATTAATGATTATATGACGTGTTTTGGCGATTAATATTAATGATCAATTAACTGATATCGAGTCAAACTATTTAAATTAGACATCTCATTTCGATTTCTGGGATAAAAAAAATAAATGACTAATAAATTAAACAACCGCTAATTTGTCAGAGACTCAATGCAAAATTTATTGGATCGTTAAATAGTAAATGAACGTTAAACAACAGGTCCTAAATTAGGGGGGGTGTTGGGAACGTAACTCTCTCTCTTCCCGCAATAAATGATTCTGTTGGGGGCAATTTGCCCCGGATAAGGATAAATTTAAAAGTATCAGTATATAAATTCTGATTTTGAAATTTTGCAATAACATTTGGCGAATGTTTTCATAAAAAATAGTGGTTTTAAGTGAAAGTCATTGTAATGAATGTCGAAAATTATAGCTTATGGCAAATTTTCTTAACGAATTCTTAGTTTAAGTATGCTAATAACTTACAACAATGTGGAAAACAGAGTCTTCCAACTGAAGTAGGATGCCCCTCGCAGAGAAATTTCTGGTCACGCCAGCGATCAGACTGATAAAAATTTCTTAAATAATTTCAAAACGTTCATCATAGGTTAGATTTTATAAAATTTGTCACGTGTATGTATTGTCAAGTGACGTGTTTCGAACGCAAGGAAATCCCGAAGGCGTTTTTACTATTGCACTGGATGGGATAGAAATCCTTGTGTATTTGGAATCAGTGAGCTTCATTGAGATCTACATTGATAGTTTTTTCAATTGTAGAAAAAAATAACTAGAGATGTTTGATACCAAAATTTGATAAATTATTCATAATAATTTTACCCCTGATTATGGAAACTCGTTGAAAAAGCAGCAAATTTTTTAATAGTATAGCAGTGAACATTCTAAATTTATTCTTGATATAAAACAATTTATTCAGTAGCAGTGAGTTTTAAAATATATGATCAACTACTTTTCATGTGTATTAAACATGAAACATTACCTGAACTATCTGGGTCTATTAATTAGTACTACATAGATAGGTAGGTAGGTAGGTACATCTTATATCTCTAATGTAATTATAACAACATCGCTTATAAGCAATTAATGCATTTTCTAACCATAAATTTACTATTAAAATGCAAGTTTTTTTTACGTCAAATCTTGCAATAATTCAGTACCAGTAAAGAAAATTGTATCAACAACAAATGTTGTTCAAGCAGTGTAGTTAGATCCGGCCCTGAATAACAACGTGTTCTTATAGTGAGAAATTGCTAAAAAACTGTATTCGCTAGATTATTTAGGTAATTCTATAAGGTCTGCTTGATTGGTAAATGATGTTGAATAATTGTGAGGCACAAATATTGAAAATGGCCACAAGTTTATTAATAAATAAAGGCAATAGAATATAATAAGTATTATACATATTTTAGTTACGTAAAAAATTCCAAAATTTCGTTTGAAGATTAAAGTTGTATTTCTAACATTTCAACTACTACTAAGGGTTAAAGTTCTGATGATTTTGTGCAGGTCGATGGTCGTCAATGTCCTGAAAGGATAAGGCACGAGAATGAAAAAAGAAGAAATTCAGTCATCGATAAAAATAAAATGCATTATGTACAGATAATGTGAATATATTTAGGAAGGTTGAAATCAATCATTGATGTTAGCCTAGTAAATCATCATTACATTAGAAATCATTACATTACATCGTTACATTAGATTATTACAACTAGCTTGTTGGTTTGACGATTGACTTATTCCAGTGGTTTCTACTAGCTTAGGCGTGTCATGCAGAAATATTTCGAAAGAAAATATCAGAAACATATTCAGACCATGACGAGCAACCAACATATCAATCAGTTTGGCAAACATTCAACCACCAAATTTATCAATCAAATATCAACCTGACTTTATATTATGAAGAAACAGAAACGTTATATACAACCAAACCCACAAATCTGAAATCACATAAATATGTAACACACATACACAAACACACACACACTCACACGCGCACACACACATGCACATAAATATATTATAATTATAATATAAATTATATATTATAGATATTTAGCATCTTAAAGAATTCAGTGCGTTCGTCGTAACAGTTCAGTACAAACCGTAATGATAGTCTAAGTAGCACACGGGTGTGCGACCTAGTTAATTCTCGCGATCTCATTGGACGGTTAACTCGGTCATGTGATCATTAGAAATTAAAAATAGGTCAGAATGTTTGCCTTTCTGCATATTTTTCGTTCATTTTCTGACAACGGAGAGAGAATTTTTTGGAAGAAATGTCCGAAATTTTATTCCCATTTGTTTGTTATTTGATAATTAATGAATATTTTTTTAATTAAAATTCGTTTCTTGAAGTTGAAAATTCTCAAAAATCTGCGAGCATTGATTGGTTAGTACTTTTTTTTTTAATATAGCCGTAGCGAATAAATTATTTTCTTTCAAGTAGGAAAGTCAACCAAGTTTTTCAATTTAAATTTTTATTCAGAAGTTAATTTTTTATTCTATTTAATAAACCGCTGATAATGTTCTTTCACAATTTTATACTTATTACAGAAAGAGCTGAAGAGTTTGTTTGGCAGAGATTGATTGATGCTTGCCTCTTGTCAATCAAACCAACTTGTCAATCAACTAACAATCGTCAACCATTCAATCAAACAGACGGCCAGTTCGCTAATCAGTCTGTCAGTCTGTGTTTTGTATTGCATTGCACAGTTCATTTGAAGTATGGTTTGTGCTCCTATTTACTATTTAGTTTCACTTTCAACGATTGCAAATTTAATTGAATTTTCAGCATTTTATTATTAATTGTTTTATTTTATTTTTTTTAAAATGTTCAGGAGTGTAGGTTGAATAATGTATAATAATTAAATAATATTTCGGTATATTCTTAATTTCATTTTTACTATAAATAACATATTATATACTATAGAGTTTATAGATCAAATGAGATGAATTATTGTGGCTTGAAAAGTTTACTACCATGTTCTTAGCTTTTGTAGTTGTGGGTAGCGTGTGATTTTGATTATTTTATAAAATTTTCTTTTTAGATAGGCAATTTTCGTTGAAATATATGTTAATACAATCTCGTAATAGTAAAAATTTAATATTTCATTCATATTTGTATAATTTTATCCAATGTATAACCAAAGGAATGTATGCTGAAAAGAAACCTGTTGACCTTGACACTTATCTAGTTGTCAATCTGAGAACTTTAATGAAATAAATGATCCTTTATGCATTACAAGTATGTAAGTTTTAAAGTTTCATTTGAAATAATTTTTCAAATATTTGCCAAATAAATTCATTATTACAGGCATTATATTAGTTTAATTGAACGCATCTAATTACTAATTATATGCAATTAATAAATCAAATTTATATAGCCTAATTTTTAAAGATTCACTGTGCTAGACCAAAAATTTGACACTCCTTACATACTACAGATTGTAGTATTTGAAATGAAGTTCTATATTCTCAAATAAAAAACACCTAGCTAATAATTACTTACATTATTGTGAGTTGTTGTTTCTGGTTTTGAAGTTAGTTATAAGAAGTTTTACCCATCTGAGCATACTTAAACTAGTTTAGTCATTTCTTTTTTAAAATGACCTACATGGTATTAAAAATGATATTTAAGTCATGCATATTGCCTATAACTAGCTTGAACAAATTCTGGCTGTTTGATGTTTTTAATTTAATTCTTGTTTATACCATTAAATGAAAAAAATTCATTTTTTTATCAAAATTATTTAAAAAAATTTATTTCATGAATTTTTTGATAGTTTAATAATTTTGTTATTCAGTATTTGAGTTGATTTGAATCATAATACTTTAATCTTTACATAGTATAAGTTCATTTTTAATTCTTCTCACATTCGTAAGA